AGTGTTTTAAATGTATACCTTTATTTAACCCTTGTATCATACATTGGCACTTAACACGTACACCAGAAGGGGCATGTGTTCTTCCTCCACTTTTTACAATTAGTGTACATAAGCTATTATTAACAATTACGTTAGATTACGTCTATCTTACTTCTCTTGCCTTCATAAGTGTTTTAAATGTATACCTTTATTTAACCCTTGTATCATACATTGGCACTTAACACGTACACCAGAAGGGGCATGTGTTCTTCCTCCACTTTTTACAATTAGTGTACATACGCTATTATTAACAATTACGTTAGATTTACCAGCATGTTACATTGCTAGCTGAGGCATTAATATAAATACCAGCATGTCAAGTTGCTAGCTGAGGCATTAATATCAATAGTTTTTTTGACAAATTTTGAAATGGATGATTGATGTAAAATAATGTCAATTTAAAAAATAAATAAATGATTTAATTATACATTTTTTTTAATAGTGTGTCTACACAGTAAGTATTATTTTTAAAGGATGAAATGGGAATTTGAGGATTGAAAGTAAGTTTGGTGTTGACAAATAATAATAAAAATGTAAAATAGTTTTATTATTGATTTTTCTAGGTTTAAGTCACTGTTTTGATAGGCCCTCCGATGGGTGTTCAGAAAGTCCATCGAGTAGTCTAGAAAACAAAGAGTACTCTGGGTCTTACCAGAGTTCTGACTCTGAATACTACTGATAGGGTTCTAGGTCCAGCCAAAACCTTCAGGAGAGATTCATTTGGATCTGAACTACCACACCTTTGTTTGGTTGCAGGATCAGACAGACAGAATGTGAGAAACAGTAGGACTTTCCAAAAATTAGAGTTGTTTATTGAATATATATATATATACTAAAGAGATGTACATCTGAGTGTTTAATTTGTATCCCTTCTTTAGTGCAAATATTGGTATGTAATTGTATATGTTTATTATGTGCAAATGTACATATACATATATATATATATGGTACTGTATTTGTTCATAGATGTTAATGTGGACCAACTGTTGTGTCATATGAAACAAGAGTTGTCCTATTCCAGTCAGTCCAAAATTTCTGCCAAATGAAAAAAAAAGGGATGTGTATTTGTTTGAATCATTTTCACATTTTTCATTTTTATTATTACTAAGGTATACATATATATATATATATAATGTTCCTGAATAAATTTTAGCTTAATTTTTTCTGTCTTGAAATAAATTGCAAGTATTTTTAAGTACTGGCCACACCAAGCTTTTTTAGGTGTATTGAACAGAAGAAGTAAAAACAGTCTCATCTTTTAAGATGCTGTTATATTTTTGAAAACTGAGTGAACAGTTGGGAAACATGGACTGAATTTCATTTGACAACGTAAGCCTCTTGTTGATTTGGTGCGTATCCGTTTTGTGGTCGTGCACGGCTTTGTCGGATGTAACTGTGCATCAAGATACTTTGATATATTTGTAGAAGTTTTAACATAGTTAAGAAGTGTGTCCTTGCTTTTAATATGAGTCACTAATTATGTTTTGTGACCTTAAGAGAAGTTGTTCAGTACCTGTTTGTCTGTGATGCCACTCCTTATAGCTCAGAGCCACAAGTTCCACACAAAGCCCACAGATGATAATAAAATGTATTAAATTTTGGTGTTACCTCTCAGGTTATGAAGTAATAGCTTTCTAAACAGAAATTCCCTTGTAGTGCCTTGTAGCTTTAAGGAACCAGATCTTCTTTCCAGATGGGGAGATTTAAGAGTAGAACAGTCTGTGTTTATGCTAAATAAGTAAAAACCCTTTAGTTTTGCAACTTTCCTCATCTTATGTGAGTGTGATTGATGTGTAGTCATGATTAATTTAAACACGTAGATATTAAGACTTAATTTTACAAGTCCTGCAATCTTCAGGTTTCATAACAACAACAACAAAAGCATACTCAGAAAGTTGTGACATAAACAACATAAAAACTGTGAAATAACTAAAATCTAAAGAAACCACAGATGTAAGTCGCATTACTGACCTAGATAAACGTATTTCCCTGAAAGAAATTTTCGTTTAAGAACATGTGTCATGATGAAGAAAGCTTAATTTAGGATTACTATTATATAATTTTTTATCTTACTTTCTCAGTTTTATTTTAACAAATCAACCAGCTCTATTGGTGTTATAAAACTCAATAATAATTATAATAATCCTTCCATTTGCAAAAAATTTTAGAATAAAAGTGAATTAACAGTTGCCGGGGAAATAAATTTAGCAATTATGTATTAAAGAATTTTTTCCCCTCTCAATAGTAAAAGTAGTGATTGAAGGAACATTTTTTTTTTTTTCCCATATATATAGCTTATAAAATATGACGTCAAAACAAAATTTTTTTTCTCAGGTAAAAAAAGAATTTTAAAAACCTTCATAGTACATGCTAAAAAAATAAATTACTTTTGAAATTGTAAAATCATTCTCTGACTGACTCTTGTATAACTTTCAGATTATTGCATATATTTTCACTACAGCTGCCCTTAGTATTTTAATTTTTTTCTTATCATTTCTATGATCCATTACTGTGGTGGTACTTGAAACAAGGATGGTTTTCAGTGTGATAATTTTGTCAGTATATTACAGTATATATATATATTAATTATTTTAGTCTGTATCTGA